TCCTCCTCCTCTTTTTCCTCCTCCTCCTCCTCCTCCTCCTCCTCCTACTCCTCCTTTTTCGCCACATCTTTCTCATCCTCTCATCGAGGCCGCTCCGCCCATCACCGCCGCTGCCCCCAACGCCTGCTGCCGCTGCCCGCAACCCCGCCGCCACCGCTGCCCCAACGCCATGTCTGAGGCGCCGCCACTGCAGTTGTTTTTTTCGTTTTCTTTGCCTTTGTTTTTTTTGCCCAACCACCAATAGATCTATCAATCAACCAATCAATCAATCAATCAATCAATCAATCACGCAATTAATCAATCCACACACACACACAGTGTCACACACACCTTTTTTTTTTTTTTTTTTCAAAACTGCGCGCGCCCCTGGTGGCTTCTGACATGCGCGCTCCCGTGGGGGGCGCGCTTTCAGTTTGCTCCCATCCGGCCACGTGAAGCTATTGACGGGGTTTTAACACGCGCAGGCGCGTTCTGAGCGCGCGTTTGAAAGTAAACGGGCTTTGACGCTTTCAATCAGCAACATATGATTAGAAAGGTATTGCTGCCATTAACGGTTGTTGTCAAGGTATATCTGCCAGGGTAGGTTAAGAGTGGTATCCGGTTCTCCAGGCTGGGTAGGGAAACAGGGGCTACTTCCCACTGGCCAAAGAGGATGGGATTCGGCTCCTGAATCTGGACGTGTTTTTAAGCAGAGGTGCAGAAAAGCAGTTCAATCTAGATTCTCTGCACCCTTGCACAAACACGTCCAGATGCAGGCATTCCGTCCAGTCTGTGCTAGTGGGGCCTTGCCCTAGGCGCCCAGAGAGGGGTTCGCTATCCGCGCTATAGCCACCCCTGATAGTCATTGAGCAGTCTTTTTTTTTTCTTTTTTTTTTGCATTGAGCAGTCTTTGCTAGTGGGCTTTTTTTGTTCTTTCAAAATTTGATTCTTTCTGTCACCATTGATACATCTTTTTTTTTTTCTTTTTTTTTTGTTATTTTATAGGGAAAATTTCCGAAATGCCCCTGAAGTTTCCGTTTATTTGCGATTCGCCCCTCCGACGACCGACTTACCCTGATTTGCCCCTGGGGCCTTTGAACTTTCGAAAAGGCCCCTGTCAGTGAGGGGCGAAACTTTTCTGAATGCCCCTACAGGTAGGCCGGTCCCGTTTCCCGTGGTGGCTGTCCATTTTGCCCTTCTGCATTGGATGCATCTTCCTGGGATGCCGTCCAGCGGGGAGGCCCTCAGAATTCGAATTCAAACTCCTTGATTTTCAGGGCCTCCGCGCAAAGAAACAGGGCTCCACTCCACGTTGTGTCCACTGCTGCAATTAACCGCGGAGTTCATTCTTCTGGTACTGCGACCTGCCGCCGCCTTCGACATCCTCGGAGAACCTTGCCGAAGGTGAGTGTTCCTCCCCTTCTTCCAGGCCTCTCTCTCTCTCTCCCTCTCTCTCTCTCTCTCTCTCTCTCTCTCTCTCTCTCTCTCTCTCTCTCTCGTTGCTGAAGGTGAGTGTTCC